ATTAATGATTAATTGTTTTCCATATTTTAACTGCTATGTATTAGTATTGTATTTATTTTACACTGACATTCAAGATAAAACTTGAATTATTAAGAGAAAATAATGACACAGCATRTGAATGGGCAAATATCAATTATGGAAGTAAACATGAATAACAAAACAGAGAACATTAAAGAACTGCAGAAATTGTAATCAATAGAATAAATATAAGGAAGAGTTGCATCATAAAGCTGACAGGAATGTTTAAAGAACAATATTTCAGTTGAAATGTTACAACAGTTCATTTCTTCAAATCAGTAGGCTATATAAAAACAATTCACATATAAACATAATTGTAAGAAAAATCTATCAGCATGTKCATTTATTTCCAAAATTATGCTGTTATAAGTAATGAATATGTAATCTAAAGGAAAAATCTATGGTCAACATAAAACATTATATTGACATTTTAGAATTTTGATTGAAAGCACAAAAGGAAATTCAAGAAGGCTGGTCAGCTTTTTACCTAAATAGCTGATTCTAGGGCTCAGAGTGTGTGTGCATTATTGTTCAATTAACATGTAAGACAACATTTTGAAAATTTTGAGGAAATTGTTATTTGGCGAGAAAGAAAATAGTACACTACCTCAAATTATTTGCAGATAAAATTATCACATTAAATATCTCTTTATCTAGGAATTATGTATTAAAAAAAATATGCTAAAAGCTTTGTAAAGTAGCCACTCTTGTCACTTAACATAGACTCCCWCGGAACCTATTCTTACTTCAGGAATTCCCCAGGAAGTGCATAGGATCCATAAGTAGAAAAGATTCAATAAATATTTCACTTAAATGATGATGATCACATTACAGCTAGGGCCTCTCAAATCTCTGGTTTTGCTTCCTATTTGTCTTGCCTCCTCTAGTAGTCTTTAAAAAACAACATGCTGAAACTCCAATTTCTTCTATAAGAACAGAAAACAGTGTAGCATTTTATCTTATCAAATACTGTATGACTTTATGAGAAACTAAAATGTATCAGTCAAGAAAAAATATGTATATTAAGGCATATAAATATATGGTAAATATATGTTATAAATACATATATGTTAAGGTATTAATATATGTTTGATCCTTTTCTTTAATTATTTGCTTTTCAGGAAAATGTATTTTATTCAACTTCTTGAGGTCTCCAGCCTGTTACCCATAGTTTTCAGGTCTTCTGTTTTATCCAACTTTCTTACCAAACCACTTTCATCTTCTTATTCTTTCCCCTTTTTTCTAAGGGCGAAATTCTTCTGTCTTCCTCTTTTTTTCACTTATCTATCACTCACCTTATGTCATATTTTTTGATATTTCACTTAATATGAAATTTCAGTAGAGATTGAAATTTCAGAAATTTCAGAGAGTAAAAAAGATTTAGAGAAAGAAAAAAAGGTTGCTACTGGATGTTTCCTATAAAGCAAATATTACTGTGCTTCACAGGAGGGTTTATAAAGGTAGAAACAAGAAGGAAAAGAATCAAACATTTATCTACATTTTAATCCTCAAGCGGAACGCATATCCATAGCATTATGTCTGCAACATTACAAATGTTTGGGGATATTTCTGCTTTCAGATGAAAAAGTTCTAAGTAGTGAAATTTTGTGGCTATTTTGTAGCTACAGTTTGTGGCCATTTCCTCTAGTCCTATCGCTGGCCACCACTGAAAAGAGGCCAGACCCATCCTCCTCACTGCCTCCCTTGAGGTATTTGTATACACTCATCAGATCCTCTCTCAGCCTTCTCTTCTTCAGGCTGAACAGGCCCAGCTCTCTCAGGCTTTCCTCATAGGGCAGATGTTCCAGGCCCCTGATCATCTTCGTAGCCCTGTGCTGGACTCTCTCCACATCCCTCTTGTACTGGGGAGCCCAGAACTGCACACAGTACTCCAGATGTGGCCTCACTAGGGCTGTGTAGAGGGGGACGATCACCTTTCTCAACCTGCTGGAGACGCTCTTCTTAATGWACCCCAGGATCCCACTGGTCTTCTTGGCCACCAGGGCACACTCCTGCCTCATGGTCATCTTGTCATCCACCATGACACTCAGGTCCCTCTCTGCAGAGTTGTTATGGTATATGGAATATTGTAATTACATCTTAAGAATCATTCAATCTTATCCTGTCAGTGACTGTCTTGATGTCTAGAAAAAGTCACCTTTTTACACTCTGCATATTCTTTGCAAATGATAATTTTGTCAAAACAAAAAGCATAGTATTTTAATTTAATTGAATTTAATTTAGTATTTAGTATTTAATTCAATTCAATTAGTATTTAATTTAATTGAATACCAGAAATTGAGCAAGAGTGGAGTTTCTCCATTGTTTATCAAGCTTAATAAAAAGATTTAGCTAAACTTGATGGTTCTTAGTTGGAAAAAAAAATGGAGAAAGGATTGCTGTTGTAAATCTTTCATACTGAGTTTCTCTTATGTGATAGGAGTTAATTTCAATTTATCTCTGGGGGTAGCAGGCAGGCTCATTAAAATGAAAAACAAAACCCTGGTGACCTAACCAGAAATATTTCATTTTCAAGACACTTCTTACTTCTTCAGTAGAATTAAGAAATCTTTGAAAATTATTTACTCACTTTTTTTTGGTAAAATTAATTACATTCACTTTGTAGTTTCTTTAAAATCCTCAGAAGTATAATATTGTTTCAGCAAAAATGAGAATCAGATTTAATTATATTTTGCACTCAAAGATCAAGGAGTTTTCTCAATGATACAAGTGAATATAAACCTTCACTAAACTGATATTACCACCTTTCACATTTATTTTATTCCATCTCTGCTTCTAACGAACATTAAGTTAGAAATCCTACTACCATGGCCTATTTCCACTAAAATCATAAAAAAAAAAAAAAAAAAAAAAAAAAAAAATCCCATTATTCTCGGTGGTAACTAGGACACATGTGTATTTAAAACGAACATACATTTTTAGAAAGTATTGATATGCTAGGAAAGCTTCCCCAGCACTGCTCCTAAAAATTTCTCATCATCTTTGTATAGATATTGAAATAGATATTCTACATCCTTTAGGAAGAAAAGATGCAGATGATATTGACTTCTAACACAACTTGAAACCTCTAATAGCACTGTTAAACATGGAATTCTGAGTGTATGAGACACTGACAGTAGAAAAGACCAAAAATGACAAGTCATTTTCTATTAAAGTTATTATAGTCAGTCCCATTGTAATTATTAGAAACTATGCTGTAGTATCCACAGTAATGATGAGTATTTGGAACCGCTCAAAATAAATGCCTGAAAGTGTCTCCTACTCTTCCTCATCTTTGGAGCAGAGGAAAAGATGCACTTTCCTGAGCTTGAAACTTTGGTCTCATCACATCAAAGTGTCCAAAGCATGTTACATTTTTCTTCTAAGCTGCAACTTCTATCAAGCTGCAACTTGAAAGGAATTAACCTCTCCATTTAATCCTTCCTCTATCATTTAATCTTCCTCCATTTAATCTTCCTCTATTCCAATAATAAGCAAAATATCTTCTAATTTCTTCTCTAAAATATCTATTATATACTATTATTATTCCCTAAAATATCTTTTACATCTGTTGTTTATTCAAGTTCTCTACAGACTTGCATTTTCCCTGAAACATTTATCTTTTCATTCCGTCTTGCATTTTTTTTTAAATTGAATTATCAGAACAWTTTAAAGCCATTATAATTCTTTTATTCATCTGATTCAGTCCAACCTCTTTTTGATGCAGGAAGGTAATCACGTACATTTTCCACATAAGATCTCACAAAGATCTTATTCTAATTTCCACCTAGTTTCCACCTAGTTTAGCTTAATTTATATTACAATATTAAAATATTAATAATGAGATTGTTAATRTTTACTGACTCTGCAAGCTCATACTCACAGAAAAACCATGCTAAAGCCAACTGGACTTTATTCTGTAGTTATCATTTTGCATCAGCAAGAACATATCGTGAGACATAGCACTGTTCTGATCTCACTAACAACTTTCTCAGAAAAATCTACAGACATTAGACATTTACCAGTTAAAGGATATGCATATGTGATTTAATATAGTTTAGTCAATATATTTACTATATTTAGTATGTTAAATTTTATCATTTTAAGAGTGAAATATTTGCACAGATTTGGAAGCATAATTCTTAACGTATGATTAATATTACAAAAAAAAAAAAAAAAAAAAAAAAAAGACAGTAGAAAAACAGTGGAGGGTGCATTATAGTCCAATGATTACAAACGGGAGATAGAAGAAACTGCAATATCACTGTATATTGCTATATTACTTCACTGTCATATACCTACATTAGAATAAATTCTTAGAGAGAACTTACATTTAACAGAGAGATTTTAACAGTCTCATATACTCCCTCATAATTGACAATAAGCATGTTTTCTGTTTTGCCTTGACCAAAGTTCTTCAAAAGAAAATCCTTTGACACCTAACAATGACACCATATTCTATTAATTCACACCAATTCGTATCCAACAACCTATTCCAGATCTAGATTCACAGGAATATATCTGGAACATAAGTATCTATTTAATAATTTCTCTTGCATATGCAAACCAACTACAGTCTTCATTTTCAAATTGTGAGAGGCTACAGCTCTGCTAGTTTCAATAGGTGCAATCTCCTCATTTAAGTAAATGAAACTAGACTAATTTATGCTAGGTATCTAGGAGCTTCCGGTAGGAAGATATTTTCCAAACTAAAGAAGTCTTTGCAAAGGATTAGCCATATAGGCTAATCAGATATGCAAACTGCTTGTTCTACTAAAGATGAACATTTTCAACATACCTGTAGGGTTTTTTTTTTTTTTTTACACAATAGATTAACATGCAACAATGAGGTAGCACACAATAACAAATACTATTTGATGTTATTCACCTACATTAATCTACTCCTTATATGAATTTCAATTTTTTTTGGGAGTAAAACCATATGACATGCAATCTATTTGTGAATGTCTCTTCAAGTTATATTAAGATATTCCAACATTACAGTCTCTTAGCTGAAATTTCAGGCATTGTCGGTTACCTTTAAACACACAAAAAATCATTCTTTATATTCTAAATATTGCTCATCATTAGTATTTTCACATATGACCTAAATTCTCTATATGCAGAAATACGTGCAATCTTTAATTTTAATACTAAAATAATTTCTACTGAGTTCCCTACTGTTGTAATTTTTGCTTCTTTTACTAATTTTATATTTTAAAAAGCCAAATGGTTGCTGAAGATTTAAGCAGAAGGTAGATCAGTGCATCTGAATCACTGGTTAGTTTAGAAGAAAACTGTTAGTTATAAAGTACATTTTTTTATGTTATGGTTGATTATATTTAAATTTATGTGAAGCACTGGGGAATATTTTTACTCCCAGTTCTCTAAACTTTATCAGATTTCATGAACACTAGGCTTGATTATGAAATAAAATCATATAAGCTACAGAAAAAAAAATCTTTGATTTTTCCCATCTCCTTTTTATAATTTAATTAAAACTACTCTGACAGCATTATTCTTAATTTCCTTTTCCACCTATCTACTACCTTAAAACTCGTGTTTAATCAGATTTAATCCCTTTCCCATTTGATTCAATTACCCTTCCTAAACGTGTACCTAACTTTTCAGTTTTAGTTTACACAAAATATTTTTTTTTCCATAACTACATGGGCACAAGTAAAATAATATCCAATACCTCTATGAGTAACAACTGCAAGTTCTTTAGTTCTTTCTATCTGCTCAGCATTTCTTGGTCYTCTTCTGGTGCTTTGTAAGTTTGCTTGATGGAGGGAGACTGCTTCCTCGGAAGTGGCCGATTCCAGAACTGATTTCCTTAGATTCATAGCTTGCACTTGTTGCTCTTCAGTAGGTTGTCTACAGATGGTCACTGAGGTGACACTGGATACAGTAACATCAGCAGATGTGCTATCAACTGTAATGGCACCAGTAGTGGCCGCAATACGCTCCTCTAACTCACCAGTGGAGGCAGGTTTGATCAAAGTGGAAGAACCTGTGGGACACACAGTAGCACTGGATGCTAACTTTTTCTTTTGAATTGTCTTTTCCTGATCATCCTATGATATTAATTTTTCCTCTGTTTAACATAGTAAAGACAACTGACATGAAAAGAGGAAAGACAATATTGCTTTATTTAAAAATTCAAACTGGAACAATTAATGCTAGTGAACATTTTGTAACTTCAGTTATATTACACATTCAGTTCTGCAAGAACTACAGTACAGTATTACCTATTACCTTGTTTACCAATCAGATTGACAGCACATAGTTGCCATCCCTACCAACTGCATGCTGAAAACAGCAATCCTAGAGCAAAACAGGTAAATGGGCCCCCAAGAACAGAACAAGGATAAACACCCCAGTCAGGAGTGATAGAGCAACAGCATTACACAGTGACTTACAGAATGGGCAAAGCTTCAGTATTCCAACAGTTAATAACACCATCAGATAAATTCATACACTGCACTCTTTCCAGCAAAGCTTGACAGAGCCCTGAATGCTCACAGAAGTATTTAGACTTGCTAGAAAGGCATAGATAGACGGACTTTAAAAAGTGCACACTTTAACAAAATATGACCTAGGCATAGTTTTTTTCTATTATATATTGGAGAGAGGCTTCAATAAATGTGCCACACTTGCATTTCCCTAAAAAAGAAAGACCATTTTATCCCTCCTGCAAAACAAATCCCAACAAACAGAAACAAAACCAAAAAACACCTCACAAGTGTTTAATGAACTAAAAATGTGTCTATGTTTTGCTTGAGAAAACATTTCTAAGTTACACTTCTAACTCATGTAATAACTAAATTATATAAGTCACAAAGGACTTTTATATTTTATTAGCCTTTTTGCTATCACTGGCCATCCCGCAGATCTGTCTGCAGATATGTGGAGGTCATATCTCCCATCTGTAAGAATATCTAGTTCTGTGTCACCTCCATTTTCACTGGAATTGATAAATGACTGGGCAATTCATAATAAAATGAGTAATAAAAAAATAAATTTACCATACATAAAGTCAATGTAGCACAAGTATGCTACCTTGCAGCAGTATCTTTAAATATAGCTATTTCATTCCATAATAATTGAGGGCCTCTTCAAGCCATACTTCTGCTTTTGTTCAGTATAGGTCTTCTCACAGATTTTTGAGGTTATTTTTAAGCAAAAAGGGATGACAGGATGGATTTTTTTTTTTCATACTTAGAAGAATCTATACACTAAGAAAATGGAAATTAGACTTACAGTGTAATTTGGCTGTTTAAAGCCCTTTCATGTATGAGGTATATCAACTCTCTTCACAAAATTATCAAATGCACTATATAAGGAAATGGAACAGAACCTAAATGTTAAAAATATATAGTCTGGATAACAGACTGTTTATCTGTCGCAGAAATTTTAGGGATTTTTTTCTTTTTCCTTTTTTCATTGTGATACTATTGAATACTGTTACAATTAAAATTTATATGTGACAAAATTACAGTAAGGCTGCTATATATATAGTACATATTACTCTTGCTACCATATACTGGTTTTTATATCTGTTCTGCAGCACAGCATTTCTAAATCATGCAGTGGTGGTTCACACTGCACGGCTGAGTGACTTTATAAGCACTAGATAATATCTTGGGTTTATCTGTTGAAGACAGAACCATTGACATTCTGGTACAGAAGAAAAACTCCTAAACTAAAAACTACTCACTGGCCCATGATGACAGCAATGTAAGAAGCTAAAATAGAATTGACATACGTTTTATTCTTTATTTCAGAAAAAGAAATAAAATCACAAAATCACAACTCCAAATAATATAAAAAGACTTATCTTATTTKTAACTCGGGACACAATGAACTGTGACAGACTGATATCAAAACTAAAGCATAAAAGCAGGACGAAAACATATTTTAGAATATGATAATGTTGACTAAAATAAATAGGGAAGCAAAATTTACTGCATGTTACACAACCATTACTTTAAAAGTAAAATCTATGGGGATGCATCTTTGTCATGCAAGCAAATATATAAAAGCAGGAATCACCAGCTCCCAGTATCAAGCTCAAAGCAAAATTATATTCAGGAGCTGAGTCATGTAATATATCAGGTTCTAATACTTTAAAAATATACAGTGCTTTAAAGAAAAAAAAAATGAAAACAAGAGAAAGTTCATCTGAAAAGCAGAAAGCCAGAAAAAAGCAATACAAATACCACTCGCTTAAAGCTTCACAGATTATACACTGAAAATTCCTGTACCACTTTGCTACAGAGATAACCTTCAAGCAAAACACCTAAATTGTGAGGCTGCCACGTCAATGTATGCTACAAGAAAAAGGATTTATGGAGAAAATCAGCAAAGTTCTGATGTGACTTTCATATATTTTAAGACAAAATAAATGTACTACATGATTGATTCTGTAATTTTATGTTACTAATGACAATATATACACTGATAGTTCCTTAAATTTCATTATAACTTATATAATCATTGTGGAGAGAATATATAATTATATATTATATATATTATATAATCATTGTGGAGAACTAGTGTTCCTCCTGAGAGGAACACTAGGGCCTAACATAAGTTTTGGCATTGCAGAAGCTTGCTTGGGGTGAGACACTGTTGCCACTTCCAGGATGGCTGGTACGCACAGACTCCGCTCCTTCATGGTTGCCTAGGCAACACAATCTGCCATCCTCGCAGCTGCAAAGGGGAGTAACGGAGGATGGAGCAGAGTGAAGACCCCGCGGCCAAACACTGTTKCAYTCCYTGTGCTGGGCCACTGGTAAGTCACACAGCAGCTGTCCAATGGGAGATATACAATAAAAAGTCCGGTGCTGAGCCAGAAAAGGGTCAAATCACTCCTTTTGGATGAAATTTGCTGGAACTTTGCTCATTATATGCTCATTATAATGCCAACACACACCTSCATCCCAGAAGTTACCCAYCTCTGAGGTACGACCACCCCTCACTGAGCATGCGCTCTAGATTTTTGATTGACTGTACCTTTAAATGAMAGCGAGAAACTTTTTCACCAATCAAGAACAATATTAAGTATGACTCTAGTCACTCAAGCTCCACCTGAATGTAAAAAGAAGTATAAAAGGTGAACTAAGGATGAAGAACTGGGGGGAAGACTCTATCATAACTCTTGGATCAGTCGATGGCCTGATCYCCCTTGCCTCCCCTCGGGTTGAGACGCGGCCTGAGAAGACTAAGAACTTGGAGGAAAGAATYCATCATAACTTTTGGATCAGTCAATGCGCTGATTCTCTTTCCTCCCTTCGGACTGGAGCATCGCCTGAGAAGACTAAGAACTAAGAAGGAAGACACCATCATAACTCTTGGATCAGTCGACAGGCTGATCTCCCTTCCCTCCCCTCGGGCTGAGGGGAGGCTGAGCCGCCTGAGGAGACTCGAGACTGAGAGCCCTCTCCCATCCTCTGGGGTGAGTGATGATTGCACATTTGTACATCAGAGCTAGCTAAAAAAAACCCATGCTGTAGCAGAGAATTTCCTGTACTGACATCCGAAACCTGCTTTYTAAATGTTGTATTTGAATAAATCATACTGTTTGTGAACTTGACTACTTGTTTGAGGGGAGGCAGTCAGACCTACAGTTGACAGACTGTTYGTGAATCTGATACTGCCAGAATTGAGCTTATAGTTGCTTACGCTATTTGGGAACTCAATTTGCTCCTAGAAAGCTGATCGGACCCATGGTCCACAGACTGTGTAAAGTCACCATATGTTAGTGGGGGGGA